ATGATGGATCTTTGGATTCAGAGCAAGGTGTGGTGCAAAGGGCAGCATTGCATTTGGCAAGAGGTGGAAAAGTGATAGCAAATATTGTTTGGACATCTCAAGTCATGTGTAATGGTTGGACATGTTGGGTTGAAAGGGTGATGCATGTGGACTGAGCATTTGAAGTGACGTGATGTTGTTCAATCAGGATTGATTTCTTGACGATGTTGATTATGATTGATCATCAATTTAAGCAATGGGTTATTTGTTCAGTTCAATGTGGTGATCTAGAACTCTCAAAGCAATGGGAGTTTCAATGGAGCGAAGATTAAGTTCAGCCTGTGATCTATGGGTCCTTCGGGGCGATCACTAAGGGGCATGTACTTTAACAAATGTTTGTTGCCTGCGGCGGCTCATATCCTTGCTTGTGGCGGCAATGCCGTGCTCTCTGATGTAGCTCCCGTCTCCCTTCCAAGTCGCAGAACTAAAGTTGCAGTGCCAATTTGCGTGTTTGTCTAGTTTCCACATGGTTCTTGGTTGCCCAATGTCTGGCTGGTCTCCAGTGCGACGTGTTCTGAATCGGCTCAAAAAATTTGTTGCCTCTCAACATTTGCGTGCTTGTGTCGTCCGCTGTGCTTACAATTCGCCAAGGAAGAGAATCCCCCTTTTAGTCTTCCCAGAGGGAAGATGATGAAATGCGCTATGCCACAATGCCCCGAACAGTGGAGTAGCATATCACTCTGTCAAAGCAGCGCCAACACACAGAATGGGCAACAGACTGGTCAATGATAGTGAGAAACCGCAGTGACAAGCACAATCGGCACACCACAATCACCCTCATTTTGCGAGTTCACATAAGCTCCTTAAAGAATACAGTGACAAAGAGAACGCTCAGAACACTACATGAAATGCGAAAAGCCAACAACCACATTCATAGACTCAGCCATTCTGCTCCCATCTCATCGCCTACAAGCGAGCCAAACAGAGCTCCCTACTTCCAATAATATGCCGTAAATGTCTCAGCCACAATAAGGGCATACTATCTCTGCTGCAAAAGAAAACCTCGGATGCCACATGAGCCCACACTGCCATGAGCGCAACTCACCCTATTCCTAAGTTTGCGCACAGGGCGTTTGTGTGTATTATATCAAATGGTTGCTACTTCCGGTGGAGGCTTGTTGTTTTGCCTCGCCTCTGCAATCCATTTTGAGATGCTCGTCACTTCCAAGGCCCTTGCAGCCTTGATAGCTTTGGTGTCTTCAGGATGGGAGAACATCAAGTCCACGTGATGCCCAGACTTTGCAACCACACAACGCAACCATCAGTAGACACAACGGGCATTGTTTTGTGATTTACGACGCAGAGCAAGATGTCATGCTGATTTCAGATGCGCACTGGGGCGTTTTTTCATCCGAATTCACATGAATGTTTCCAGAGTGCATGCTACCTGCATTCACTCATGATCTTTGATTCTTTTTCGTTCTTGTCATCAGTAATAATTCCCAGTGGTGCAAAGCGGAGGTACAGCACAGCGTTTTCTTGTTATGAGGGGTGCCCCAATGGATGGCATGCACGCTTGGCAGTCGCAGAGTACATCTCAATGCATATGTCACGTCATCCAGAGTCAGAGCGTTGCCAACTGTTGGCAAGTTGTCAATAGTTTCGTCAGCTGGCTTGCCAGTTGAGTCTCCAGATTTCATTGCAGAACAGCAAAGTGCTAACTGGTGCGGGACTTCAGCAATGCATGGCAGCATATCACAACACTCGATTTTGACGTGGAAGTTGCCATCAGCTGCACAGTCTAAACATTCCAACAGCTGCTGTCGATTCCATGTCACAATAGCCTACACGTATGCCTTTGACACGGTGCCACCACAGGTCGCCAGCAGATGGCGTGCTTCTGAGGACTGGCACAAACATGTGGACAGCCAAAGGAAAAGGACGGGAAAATGCCACTGTGTCCCCACCTCAGCAATGGTGAAGACTGTGATAGAGTCTGACACATGACTTGTCACCCCACCACCCCTCCAGGGATCGTATTCCCCATTGCTGAAGACGATGTTCGAGGCTGTGCCAATACGTCTACCTCCCCATTGAGTTTGAGCCCAAAGAGGACGAGGCAAAGCGCCCACTGTTTTCAAGCATGTGGCCATATACTCGTCTAAGTCGAAAGGCCTTTTCCAAAACATGTCACTGACTGCAACACAACCAGATTCAACAGCAGAGATCAGGGATCAAGAAGAAATGCAAGGTAGCCAACAACAGCTGCAGCCACACCAATGGTATCTACAGGCATGATTCACAATTAATCTAAAGCAATTTCCATCCAAGAACTTTGGTGTTGGCAATACTCCTCTGTCACCAGGTTGGTGTACATAGACAAGTTGCTTCTTCCCATTCAACTATAAGATGCTGGTCAGTTAGGGCACATCATTTTATATCAATCCAGCAGGCTGCGCGGGTCCCGCCCTATTCTCACATTCCCCAGTTCCCCATTCCAGCACCATTCCGGCTGCATAGGTTAAACACCTGGAAGGCGATGTGGGTCAGTTGGGGTATATGAATTCACATCAATCCAACCTAATGATTGGAACAGGCAGCAGACCAATTACAAGCGACTTGAGATGGCAACAGAATCATTGTGTCGGGCAGTTGTGTGCCTCGAAATTATATTCCCGTACACTGACAGCTGCCAAACACCAGCAACCTCCACTGTCCATGTATAGCTTTGTCACTGTCACTATTTTGCACCCACCACCATCCCGTGAGTCTGGAATGACCATTTCGGTGCATGACTGCCAGTTCCACATGTCATCGACTTCAGCACTCGCATTGTTCACTGCAGCAGTGAAGTCAAAGCACTCCACATCGCCAGTACTGTTGTACAGCAGCCCTGCAGCTTTGGCAAGACCTTGACAGCAAACAAAGTCACAGCTCACAAGAAGGTGAAAAGCAACACAACAACACCGTGGTCCTGCATAATGGCACGGCACACATCCCTTCTGGTTCCACCGTTCCTTTGACACACCAAAGATTGCTTCATTGGACCCTTTGCACAATCCAGAGTGCTGATTTTACATGTCCTGAATCGTTGACAACTTTCCCAGGCCTTGGCAATCTGTGCAATACGGGCTTTTCGGTTCATGTGATCAATCAGATAACATAACAAAATGCAACATGATTATGATGTCAAACTATGTTAACTGCAAGGGTACTCGCAATCAGTCTTCTCAGGATCCGTACATCATCACTGCCACTGGCTAAATGAAGCAAATCATTCCAAACCAAACAAAGAGCATCTGTGACCAACAGTTGGATAACATTGAATAGTGCGCTGCTGGTCATGGGCACTTTGCAAACTTGTACCCAATACGGCCAATCAACCCACCCACATCACTATCACCCCTTGTCCATGCAAAGGTCTGCATTACTTGGCAGTAAAATCAGGATCCAGCTTTCATTCTCAGGCATGGGCCTTTGGCTGCGATGAGCCTGATTTTTAACTGTGCGTCCCTGCCCACCTGCCAACAGGTCTACCCCAGTCAAGGGCTCCGACAAGAAGGAACATGCTGCCCGAATCGGGTACGCAGGTAAGTAACCCTGCCCGTTGGTCATGTAGTTCGAAGCATAGGGATACATTCCCATGGCCATCATGTCAAAAGCATCGCTCACCCACTCCATTAGTGCAAGAGCTGAGTCTGCACCCTCCAGCCCAACCGCATCACAAATAGTCATCGCTTTTTTTACAGCACGGGCACCTGCAGTCCACCGATGTCAATTAACATAATTTGGCATCAACATTGTGTATCGACTCACAGACGCTGCACCAAAACTCCTCTTCCCCGTGGCGACCCAAATAACTGAGAGCTTTGACAGTGGTTTTGCATGTGTGGAATGCTGAGAGCCTTCCAATCAGTGGTTCTGGTGTTGATGTGGCTCAGTGAGATTGTGTGGGAATGGCGTGGGACACTCAACCACACTTGCCAGGACATTGCACTGATTGTGCAGACGTGTTGGGCAAGGAATGGCATTTCACCCATCTACAACCTATTGTGAACAACAGTTCTACAGGTATGTTGCATCGCCAAAGGATGCAGGAGAAGAAGAGCACAGCTCACACATGAGCAACCTCTGTCAGTCTCAGTGGCACGTGTTGGCACTAAACGACCAAACCACAGCTGTTCTACTGATTCTGACGAACAGGAACAGTGCAAGAAGCCTTGTCAAAGGACAATGCATAGCTAATACAAAGCCACGATGTCCAAAATTTATGTATCTTGCATGCTCTGTTCTCACTACAACTTGCCATCAACAGCACAATGTGCGATGTCGGTGATATCAATCCAGGCATACATGCAAACCCAGTCAGCATCAGGAGTGTGGCTGTGAGTAGACATGTCCAGTATCCAAATCCATGTTTGTTCATGTCCTTGGCAGCAGTACAGCAGGCAGGTGTCCAGGGACACTGTCAGTGAGCCCCACCATGGCAGTGTTGATCACAACATCTTGCTACACTTTCGATTTTAAGAAACATCCTATGGTGCATGCAAGGAGGTACACACATGGCATGTCCAGGCCATCTTGTTTGAGGGAGAGGATGCGCAAGGCATCGACATTAGTTACATGCACAGAGGTAGGCCTCACGTTACAAACATTCAATCCCATATTGGCAAAGTGTTCAATGCAACAAGATTGCTATCATACGGATCCATGCAACAGCAGTTACTTGTTGGCTGCACCAGCAATCAACAAAGGAAACAAACAGATCAGCAACCAGCAATAATAGCAGTGACCATAAAAAGAACTCAACGCAATGCACAAGTATTCGTGCACTCCATGCATCGCAACAGTTTGAGGGTAGCTGTTCCATATTCCATGGCTACCTCGGACAGTTCCAGCCATCTCCTGAATTGTTGACCAAGCCTTTTGAACATTCGGAACACATGAAGCGGCTGATCCAGCTGCAGGAGTTGCATCGTATGTGACGATCTTTCCATAGTATCCAGGATCAACGGGTGGATCCTGTCCGCATATGTGCACACAGGAACACTGGAGTTGGAGCCAGCTGAATGGGAAAACTAGTTTGGTTCATGGACATGCAGCCAGCTTCACAAAGACAGAACGGCACTTTGCTATCATGTAGGCGGAGAAATTCACTGATATACTGCTCTCAGCCAAGAAATTCATCGTCTCAAGCACTAGTTGGGAATATCACTGCCAGCTTACCTCCCCAATGAATGTCCATATTGGTGCTGATCCTGCGATTACGCCATCCAATATGTGTGGGTATTTCATGCGCATCCAGGCTCCAATCATTCCACCTGTGGAAGGCAAATCCTTAACTTGGGAACCAAATCCTGTGCACTGGGTATTACAAATTCCTACCAGCAAGCATCAGACAAATGCTGTGGATTTCAAGGCTTGTTTGTGGAGTGTCCACCTCTTGATTGAGCTGTATTGGATCCTGGGTGGGTCATACAAATATATGAACACAAAGGACAATCGGTACAATATTGTGTCAGCTGGTAACATGCGCTTAAGGTGTTCATTCAAGATTCTTGGAAAGAAACAACCACAAACAGCACAACATCGCTTTGCATGCTCTTGCAAAGCGACACGTGGCCCACATCTTTCATTAAGATGTGGGCAGGACATCGATCCAAACATGGTGCATCATGCTTTGGAGCCAGATGCACCAAAAAACTGTCAACTAGACAACAACAGTGTGCAAGCTTCACAGGCCCATTCTTGATCTTGCTACAAGGAGGATCGACTACAGCAGGGTTCCTTCATGCTGTACATTCTCAGTGGGCTCAGTTGGCCCTAGTGGAAATTGCGAATGGCTATGAACTCACTCCACATGTGCAGACAGCAATCTTTTAGAAACAGTGCTGAGAGAATCATTACACATCATGAGTTGGGCAAGACATATACTGTTGCCAATTTAGGAGTTGGGACAAATTTTGGGTGTTGTGTGCTTCTCTGCTCATTTTACTTACCTGTTCCTCAACAATGAAAGGCACTCACCACATAAATGTTTGTTATGTGCAGCCTTAATTTCTTTGGACTGCATTTGACAAAACAGCCGAGACAAGCAGCAATCCTTGCAGTTTGGGGGCTATAATGGCTCACGCCGCGCATATATGTATATATATGTAACATATATATATGTATATATATATGTATATATATATATATGTATATATATATGTATATCTGATCGATATCTTTTCGATCCCCCGGAACCTCTTCCAACGGTGCAAACCAGCCAATCCACGGGCGATAGAGAAGAGGATCTACCGTCTTGAGGGGGTCGAGCACCAAAGGCACCAAAGGGTTTTGGGATTGCCGGTGCAGAAGTACACCGGTACGGCGGCGGCAACATCCATGCAGCACAGTACAAGAGACAAAAGCCACCATACACCAGCAACAGCCAGCTACAGGCTTTGGAACGGCTCAGGCCTACAACCTTTGAATCCATTCACCGAATTGTCTCCATGTGCATTTTCCATCATCAATGTTTTTGCTGGGGGCCAACAGCTTAGTAGCCTGCATAGGACTGGACAGTATCCCACACAGCAAGGGGATCTTCCAGGCTGGTGTCAGATGGAGCCTCTCCAACTGACACTTGAGCACAAATACTGAGTCTGAAAAGCCTTCTACCACCTTTGGACAAAAGCACCTCAAAAATACCTCAGCCAGAGGTACACGATAATCGAGTTGGAATGTGCAGCACACATACACAGCAAACACAAGGTGTTTCCACCAAAGCTTGGCATTATTTCTTTCCTCAATTCTGGCAAAGGAAAATCCACATGTGGCTGCGGCAATGGGCAATGCTTCACCGGAGATAATAATTGGTAGCATTGGCGGCTTTGCCAACAAACAGCAGACCCACGCCAAAAATACCCACCATAGGATCCACCAAAACCAATGACAGGGCTGTGTGTTGCATTTAATTCAGCCTTCAGGTCTGTGATGAACTCAGCATAGTCAGCTATGGCCTGCTCAGTTGTCAGGAACTGCTTCGAGTTTTTGCCACCATAAGGGACAGACTTGCCATAGTACCTGTACAACCATGAACACCGCAATCAACTTACACAAGTGCACAGTGAATGCATTGGAACGGGCCATTTGATCGTATCTGTGCATTGGAACAACAGCTGTGGTCATTTCCTGCTGTCATTCATGTTCCAACAGGAAGAGCTCACACACCCTCAATGACACATAGATAGTGCAATTTCTTATTGTGAATTTGGGGAGCCAGTTCCATAGGATCTGATAGTTTGGCAAATGGCCTAAAAAGATCAAAGGTCTGGGATGTCGGAACATCTGAGTGGGCTAGACAAGTCTGCACTGGGTGGGAGATTGATGAATTCAAAATTCACAATGATCCAACAACGATGCTAACACACATGCAAACAGCACTTGCAGAGCACCAGACCTGGGCCTCAAACCTCTTGTTGCTTCCCAGACCAGGTGCATAGCCGTTTGAAGAGTACTGAAACTCCAAATTCACAACCAGAAGTTTGCAGTGCCGAACCCTGCCCGTGAAACCTGTGCCCCGTTTCTAGACGTCGTGCACTTGTGCCTACCTGCATAAATGTCTAGCAGTGACTCACCTGTGTTCCACAAATACAAGCAGAGCACCAAAATTGGGTGCGTTCTCCCACATCAGCCCTGTGGCATTCAGATATCTAACAACATGCACCACAACACAACGTCAGAAGTGACTATTTCACATTTAGAGAAGCTGCTGACAGCAGGAATGGGTTCACTCACAGAGTGACATCAGCTTCATTCCCGAGATAAACAAAAATTGGTCCCTTTTCTCCATCTGGCCCTGACTTCCAGTAGCTGTCACACAAGAAGTATCTTTGAGAATACGTTGCCCGCCCTTCCGGAGGATCCTGCACACACAGTGCATCCTTGAGCTCCCAACCAGCCACAAGCATGCACCCCCATAAAAGAAGCAATGATCCAAAAAGAAAGAAGAGATTGGGTATGCAGCTGGCAGCCCCCTCCTGAGCAACAGTGTTTTGAGTCTCTGTGCCTATAAGGAGCACCATGAAGACTGATGAAATGGACAAGTCCGAGTGCATAAGAAGAAGCGCGCTGCAGCCGAAGCACTTTCCGAAGCACCAGTGGATGCTAAGGAATAGATTGCACAGGCAAGGTGTTCCGAACCCTCGAACACGTTCAGCGGTCGCTTTCCCTCACCCAGGCAAAATGGTCGAGTGTCGTGTTTCTGTAGTGCTCGCTGCACAGGTATATCGGCTCTGGACCCTCCCACACTGGAGAATGGGCATGGAAGCCGGTTCCAACGTGAACGCCCCTCCCACGGCGGGGGCCGGAATGACGGAACGCATCGCAGCCGCCACCAACAGCGCAACAGCACAGGAGGATTATCAGCGCTGCGCGGCCACACCAAGTTTGCCTGCGTCCCCCGTTGGCCATGGCTGTTTGGGGCCTCGCCGTGTGTGCGGGGCAGGAAAAGTGGGCGCCAGAGCCAGGGACCCGCGACGTGGCACGCTGACGTGTGGACGGCCAGGGTCCGACTCGTGCGGTCTTTGTCTTGGCAATGCTCAGGATACGCCGTGCCGGGGCTTTTTTTAGGAGCCAGTGTGGCATGAGCCCAAAAACAAACTGCGAAGGAGTCGACAGTCTGAGAAAGAAGCCTACAGTATAACGTACTGCGGGCAGTGGATCCAACGTTGGCGCTACATGCATTGGCAATTTTGCTGCAGGCCAAGGTGTTGTAATGGCACTTTGTGCAATCTAAACTACAGACCAAAGTTCCGCGCGTGCGAATTAACCGACTAGCTTGGGGAATTTAGCGAAGCCCCTAATTGAAAGGCTGGCACCCGCAGTGCGATGAACGCGCACGTGGCGCTGGAAGCGCTGGCGCCCGGGTAGCAGCGGTCGAAGTAATGTACATGTTGCACACGTGCCACCTATTGAGAACACTGCACCCTGGGGCCCCAAGGCCTGGGTCCGCCAAATCTACACCGGCGCTCCTGGAGTGCCCCGCAAAACCCCCAACATGCCCGCGGCCGACGCTAAGAAAGCAGTGCCCAACGAGAAACGTAACGGCGTCCAGACGCGGGCCAAGGCAACTCGACGGCCGTTCGATGTGTTCCGCGTCCAGGCGACGCCGGAAGAGATCGAGGTGCGGAGCTTCCTGGACATACCTCGAAAGAACGCGCTGTCTGGCCCTTCTGGGGATCGAAAGGCGGCTCCACCGGTGGAGGCCACAGCCAGAACATGGGGCTGGTGCCTACTTCGCGCATTTGCTGAACATCAAGGCGCCGGGCCTCCGTTGTGACAGAATGCCGTCAGGATTGTCGTCAACAGGCGGTTGGGGCCCTGGAGAGGACATCTGCGTCTTGGCAAGTTTCTGGGCCTTGTCGTCTTGTCTTTGCGTACATCGGCGCAGTTTGGCCCGCTCCGATTCCTGGGCCCTTCCAGCTCTGCATGGGGACACAGTAGCCATGCAAGCAGGGCGCCAAAGCTGTTTGACTTCCGGTGTCTTCACAGTGAGGAGAACCGAATTGTGGCCCAATCTGATGCTGTGAAAACAGCCAGGCGGATAAGACACAGCTCGTCAAGGAGAGATGGTCCAAGGCGTTTTGCCGCCCTGTGGGGTTTCCTGAAGGAACATGACCATTGGCACAATCGTCGTTGCGCGGAAGTGAATCAGGAATGTTGCTGCACAAAATCCCTTGTATCCGGTTTGTTCTTATGCGATCCAGTGTGTAGGACGACATCAGCAAGATTCTGAGGGGAGTTGAACACTGGAATAAGCTGAGGACCAGTGCTCGGGAGACTGCAGTCTGCACAGAGCACTTTGAGTCGAAGGCCGACCCTATCATGGTGAGAATGCTTTACACGTGTTTTGTGTTTTGGACACAAAGCACAGTTTAAGACGGGATGGATATACGACTTCTGCGACTGGACAATTGTAGTAAATCGGCATCCCATGCCTGGTGGCTCAAACTCTCCAGCAACAAGGCAGCCTTTGCAGTGCCACAACGACTGGATGAGCAGGCTGAGCACATTATTGTCTTGGCCAGTGACTGTCCTTGCCCACTCACATCTTGCACTGCTGTCTTTTAGGAGGATCCCCAGATGGGTTGAAATAACCACACATTCTTGAAGATGGTGCTACAATGTTCTTTCATGGAGCACTCTCTCTGCTGTGCCGATGCTGCCCAGCTGAGGAGAGCAAAGCGTGCCCATACAAACACCAAGACAAGAATGCAATCCGGGAAAGAGACCAAGCCAAGACCACCCCGCCCATGCTGCTGGTGTTGCAAACATCTGCAATCTTGTGCACAACTGGGGAATGTAATATATCTGTGATAGTTTGCCAGTGTGCAGTGTAGTACAAGATGTGCTACAATCAGACTTGCAAACTCAAACACTGCACGCTGCTTGCAGCCATCCAACAAGAGGGTATGCAGACATAAAAGTATAAAAGCTTCTGATATCCACTGGCAGGAAGTCAAAGCAAACGACAAAGACCACCACCAACGTCTGGACTACAAGCCACAATCCAGTTCCCCAGCTGCCTTCCACAATGGCAAGTGTGCACCGAACGCATGCTGCTCTTGCTTGCTCTTGAGTTTCCCAATTATGCATGCAAGATATCCTGTCGCCCAACAGCTTCAACTTCCCTCCCACGTCTTCTTTGCCAATTCACTCTGCTTTAGAATGTTAATCCAGCGTGGTGGCACTTTTACACTGCCATCTTTCTCCAGAAAATGTGGGGCATCAGAAAGGCCCAGAGCCTTGGGTCCCACACCCATAGTCTCAGCCTCCATCAAGGCTTGCTTATCACATCCAGCTCCCGCCGCTCCCCTGCAGTATGGCAACGGTTCGCATTGACTTGACAGGTCTCATGCAAGCAATACAAGTTGGGAACTAATGAAATCATTGCTCCTGTCTGTGCAACCCATCGGCAGCCAATTTTGAGCTTTACATCATTCACTTGCACAGTGAGCGCTGGACTGTACTTCCAGCATACTGCAAGGGCTACTGCTGGACACAGAGCCATCACAAGGTTCGAAGTTGTTGACGTGTCATGCAAATCAGACCCCTGCCTAGCTAAGGCCCGTGATCCACATAGCAATGATGGCATGCTAACCCCAGACTCTTTCAGATCAGCTCCAGTACAAAATCAGCATAAGAATGGCTGCGGCTCACAGCAGGGACGGCATGAATAACTACAGACTATACTGCCACCAGAAGCACAAGTGTCCTGCCTTGAGAGGCTCAAACTCTTTTCCTGGGGTGATGATGGGACAGGACTTCAGAAATTGCAATTCCCAGTCGATTGCAAGACTGATTGGCAGCAGGCCTTTTGATACAGTCATGTTACCCAACAACAGATTGTGATGCTCTTCACATTTTGGCAAATCATCACTCGAGTCTCACTGCCAAATTTCTCAGTCAATTCTCTTTGACAGGCTGATGCTTATGCAAGTGCTAGAATGGTGGGTGTGGGTGTGGGTGTGGGTGAAGGAGGGGGAAGGGAGGTGGGGAAATCGGACGCTGTTTAGCTACAAACTGAAAGAAACCATTTCTGGCTTGGGGAGGCACAGCATGGGCAGCCAGTGAAATCAAACGAATTCAACTAGTAACCGATTATACAAGTCTTGTTGGGAATCGCATTCAAGAGTTGAATTGTTCTGTTCCAGCAATATCTTGCTGCCAACAGAGAAATTGGTATGGAAGGGGGTGAACATCAGTGCTGAAGACAGCAAGATCAGTGCAACAGTGGCTTCACGTCACGTCTATTTCATTGCCAATGAATGAGGCTGCTGAGTAGTTCTGAATGTTAACAAAGAGTACAGAGTACCCCAGAGGAGCTGACATGAGCAGGGAAGCATACAATCAGTTGCCAACACTCACCTTCCAGGATCGCTCACAGAGTTGAAATCCACACTACGCGATGGCTCTGTTGGATATGCTCTTTGCACAAATGTCATCAGCCTCTTCAGACCTTGGAAGTACTTCCGTGTTGCCTCATCGTTCATTATGTGGGCCTCACCGTGCACATTTCGAACGTGTGAAATCTTTTCCCGTGCTGAACGCTCGTGGATGCCGACACTTGTGACACCAATGGGCCATGGGGCAGTGCCAATGGCCAGTTTCAAGTATATGTCATAGGCGTGAAGGTAGTTGCGATCTCTCATAGCCTGCACCACACCCAGGCAATGACAGTGGAAACATGCTGCAAGCAAAATAGTGGGCACATCCAGCTGGGCCAGAGTGAGCAAGATTGTCAAGAACATATTGTGACCTTGTCTGCAAACACAGCTTCTTGGGGGATTCAGCAACTAAAGCATTTGCGACCTCATTGGCACTCACCTTGACCACCATCCAAAGGCCTGCCACAAGTTCTTCATCCAATTCCCGCTTCTCTAACCTCTGAAACAATGCCTCGAAATGCTTCATGTTTTCTCTGTACATCATAGTGGCCAGATGGCCTGATCTCGACTCAGCGACTTCAGCTGGTCGCACATCCAGATCCTCCTTCCACTCCTCACACCACCTCCTCAGCTGGCCTAGAATCCTATCCTCAAATGGCAGATCTTCTTCTTTACGAGTGGATGCCAGCCGTGCTGCAGCCCTTTGAAACTGTTCATAAGTTGCATCCACAATGGCCTGGGAAGTGTCCTGTGGGGCAATCATGGATTGTGAACACACAGGATCGTGCCAGCTGAAGCACAAGAGCGACAGCAGATATGAGGCAAATCTGCTCGAATTGTATTGGTGATATCAACGCAATAGTGGCATGTCACATTCCAGCTTGCTGTTAACAATGATAACAACTGCCTTATGTCCAACATCTGCCACGTGTACCTCCAATGAAAATGCCACAGACAAGATGTCAATCCCCAAACCCAGCAAAGGCATCAAATAAGCACTGAGACAGCTAGGCTAACAAGCACTGGTGAGCCTTGCCTCATATGATGGATCCCCAGTTCAACCAATAAACGCATCAACCAAGCCAGCACACATGAGGTCATGGAATGCCTCTGGGCAGCCTGCAGTCACTGTCCAGTTCTACCTGTTTCTCATTGACGGTGTCTTCCGTTGCTGCCCTTTCATGTGCAAGTGCAGCCTCCACCTTTGCCACCGACCTGCTTGCCTTGTCCTCTTTCTGAAGCTGAAGCAGCGTGTTCGCCTGCTGGCCTCCGATCGCTTCGTCCTCAACCTTCATTTCCTCCTCAGCTTTCACCAAACGTGCTGCACGGGCTGTATCATCCTGTTGACATCAACAATGCCAACAGCCTTGCTTCCTTCTGTTGGAAGACAATCAACAAAAAGTCCCAAGCAAGCTGTGTTCACTGCCCTAACAACAAGAGCAAGAATGGCCATGCACAATTCCAACCCCTGCACCATGGCAACGAAAGCAACAACTGGCACCTTGTGCTTCCTCACAAGTGAACAGTGAACTGCCCTTTGGAACACGATGGGTAAGTTTTTGTTTTGTTGGCCACAGGCTTACCTCACCAAAGAGTGTCGCAGGCTGCCCAAGAGCTCTCAGTCGCCGAACAACTTCTTGCTTGCTGAGCTCCAGCAATGGCTGCACAGTATTGGGACCACAGAAAGTCATTCAGCACCAGTATCTTCGCTTGCGCAGTATGGACAGAGCATGAATTGTCTTCCAACATACACCCACCCTAGGCACGACAGCTGCGTCACAAAATTCACTGTCTCCATGCAGGCGCTTCCTTATGACTTCACTGCCTTGTGATAGGCACTCTCAAGAACTATGCACTGGAGCAGGGTGGCCATTGCATGGCCTGTTCTTTTTCTTGAAATCTTTCTGCAGCCATCAGTTTCACCTCACCTGTACCGTGTTTTCATCTCTTCCTGTGTTTTCATCTCTGTCTGGTTCAGGGACTCCCGCATCATCTTTCTGTCTCTTTGCCTGCACGACCCCCTTTTTCACTCAGTCACAATTGCTAGTCTATGCAGTAGCAAACGTTCGCATGCCAGCAACGCACATTTGCGAGCACTCAAGCGAAATGGGCTGGCGCTGACGACGCATCCTGTTGGGTCATAGCTTGGCGCTTGGAACCTGCCCTGACAGCCGTTAGCGGTCCATTGCCGGGCTCCACATCACCCTCCATGTATCGAAATGAATCCCCTTGAGTATCGCAGCGGCCCTTGTCCTCTCTGAGAAGCTCAGCGCACCCTTTACCTTATCCTCGAGCTCCTTCCGCTCCTCGGACCTCAGCCTCTTCAGCTGCCTGTCCACGACCTCCCCGCGCCTGGCGTACTTGCTCCCACCGAAGTCCAGCTCTTTCTGCTTCCGCTTGCGCTGGAGCTCGGCCTTCAGGGCGTCCATTTCCGCAGCCTCGCGTAGCGACACACTGCCCAAGCCGCGCTTCCACACCACCTGGCAACAAACTGCATATGCATTGGCACTGCCCACACGCCAACGCGTTGAAAGGCACAGTGGGGTGGTTTGACATGCTGACGTCGGATGTTCTGGTGCCCAAGCTCACAAAAACCGCCTTAGGGTGGGGTAGGTGCCGGACGAGGTGCGCCGCACCGCGCTATTCGTGCCTCCTGGTCCCGCAGCGATGGCGCAGCAAGGGCGGTGGGCGGGCGACGGAGTATGGGACAATCCAACAGCGACGGCCGGCTACCCACAGGGGCAGCAAGCGCACCGGCAGGCGCGGCAGGTCGGCATGCAGATGTCGCATCCCGATGGAAGTGAGGAATCGATGGTCCACAACGTCTCGGGACAGTTTGTGCGCCAGACGCCCGCGAACTTCGAGGGCGTGGGCGCCAGGCCAGCAGCCGCGCACGCGGGCCAGCTGCCGTACGGTGATCAGCGCCCTGCGGGCATTGGTGCGCAGCGCCACATTCTCGGCAATGCTGATCAAGGCTTGAGAGGGCACACGGACACAGCGACAGCGACGCTCGCCTCGTGGAAGAAGCCAGAGACCTTCGGCCACCAAATGGGCGGTCGCACGGGGCCCAGCGGCACAGGGCTTCCGGTTGCAAATGCGCAGGAGGTGGCACAAGAAACCGCACTCGTGCCCAGTGGCCGGGCGGGTGGGCGGCAGATTCAGGCGGCAGCGCTTCCACCTGGCTTTCCTGCGTCTACGGAATACGCACCCGTCGGTTTGAATGTCGCTGCCGCTGCAGCAGCTCCTGGCGGCTCTGTGGCCGGATCAGGCAGGAGAACAACGCTTCAAAGCCTCCTGGACGACATCAATGTTGAAGGGCTTACAGAAGGAATGCAAAACTTGGGCTTCCAAAACCAGATGTAAGTGCCAATTGCTGTGGAATCGTGTGCTGAACCAGCAAGTGTGGAAAAACACAAGCAGGTTCTTGGCAGCCTCCAGCAAAAATTACATTTCGACTACTGCACTGAGCTTAATCATGCAGAAGACTGACCAGAATTTGGTGATGCCAGTCAGGTTCAACCTAATGAGATGCATCTGCCGAATCATGCCTATTGTGCGGATCATTCGTCGTTCCTTTGCTGGCCACTGAACTGAACCCACGATTCTCAATTTAACTTCCCAAATTTGAATATCTTGGCAATTGGTGTGTTGAATACAAGAATGGTATGCGTAAATTCAGCCCATTGACTTTTACAAGCCCTGCGATGAATATAGTGCAGGTGAACACTATCTGTTCAACCAAAAGAACAACAGCCAATATCTCTCAAGTTCTCACCACATCTATCAACCTACGACCACACCAACATGTTGTTCATCATGAAAGAACATATGCAAATCTAGCAACCGTTGCCTGGCTGCATGGCATCATGTCCTGCAACCAAGATGCATGAGTTTGTTCCAGCCATGCCAAGCACTCCGCACAATCTGCCCCAACATATATCAATTGAGGCAACCACCTTCATTCCCTAACAACATATTTGCAAGCGGAGTCCTCCCCACAGAAAAGGTGACACACTCACCCACCTACTTGATCACTGCCAAGGTTGTTTCAAATCCCATACCTGGTAGTGCTGGGTGAGAAAACTTGTTGCCAGTGCCGTGACCCACATCAACCACCATCTGCATCGTGCTTGCTGTGAGCATCACCTCCCACAGAGCTGCCATTGTACTTGAATTGTACAATCTGCTGTGCCAATCAGATAACAGGATAATTTCTGAGTTTCACTATTTGAGAAGGTTCTGTTGTGTGGTGAGTTTGCACCACATTGAGTGGCTGGTTTTCAACCAAGCATGGAAATTGACAATCTACAATGGGCAGGACAACAAGCAGCTTGTCCTGCATCCAGTGGGCTGATTCAAAGCAGCCTCGTGTTGCCAACATCATGACATCAGCATAATTGATAGTTTCTTGCCATCTTGGTAGGCATGGATGAATATCACTCCTCAAGTATGTGCTTGCCCCCCAAGTCCTGTCTCAATACACTTTAGCGAAAGGTCAGCACCATAGTTACCTTTGTTTCTTGCTTCGAACCACATGTATTGACAACCCAACGGCACCAACGACACAGAGTATGGTTGTGAGCAGTATCCTATATCAGTTTCTAATTGGCCTCTTGCCAGTTGTTGGATTCCCAAAACTTTGATGTCAAACTCATGATTGTGTAGCTGATGATGAGCATGCGTTGCAAGTAGCAGCGCACTGGGTTGCCAGTGTTTGCCAACTACTTCTTTTTTAGTATAGCACTTGCTTCTATGATTGTTTGTATGTGCTGGCTTGCAGGACAGGTCAACAGCCGCCAGTTATGGCACATACACCTTCAGGGGCCTTGGGGGGCTGTGGAAGCAATGTATTGCAAAGTGGGGTACAGCCTGGGATGTCCATCAGTGCTGCGATGCCCAATGCTGTAGACTCGTTGGTGCATTCATCTGCATCTGGATGGGATCATGCTCACAGCTCCCTGATACATCGAAGTCAACAGCGTGGAGAGTTTCACACTGTCCCAGGATCAGGCACAACAACACTGACAACTAAAATGCCTGGCCAACCTGTTGTGCGCTGGGGGTCAGATGGAAGCAACACGATGGTTGGCAAATCCATGAGCATTGTCCAACCTACTTCTCAATTTTCACAAGGCTCCTTGATGGTTGAAGGTCAGCAACAAGAGAAGCATACTGATGTCCCTGGATCAAGCATTGGAAGTCCGTCAACAGCTATGCCCAGCCAAACTGGTGCAGACTCTGGACAATGCATGGGTGTTGCATTGCCAAATACTGCAAGCGCTTTGCTGGTGCAACCCACTTCTGGATGGGACCCTTCTCAAAGTTGCCAGATGCATCAAACTCAACAACAAGGAGGTTTCGGCGGTGCATTGGGGCCAAGCATGACAACGATGCCAACTACAGTGCCCACCTCTCAGCTTGATAGTGGCAATGGGCAGAGCTGTAGGTTGATGCCAACAGAAATGTATGGGAGGCAGCCCATGGCCACTGCAGTAGCGGCTTCGGGAAATCCAATGGCCCCAAAGCACACTTCTCAAGTGGATGCAAGTTTGGGTTCGACCTCAAGCATAGCAATCCAAGGAGCAATTACCCCCGCAGCACCAACATCTGTAGTTCGATTTGCTTCTCAAGAACAAATCATGCAGCAGTTGAGGCAGCTGCAAGGTACTAGGAGCTTTGTCAACCCGCGGGAGCCATCCGATGACGAGGTCTGTGATGCGTTTGGCAAATGCAAGCATGTTCAGCAGTGTTGTGTGTTGCGTGGTCTGTGGGGCTGGCACATAGAGTTTTGTGGCAACGTTCCCCAAGTATGCGCATTCCAAGACTATATGTGAACATTGGGTACCCATTGCAAGGTGCGTACTTGTGTACTCTTTGGGTTTCAGATTGCAACTCATTCAAACAGTGACAAACTTGGCAATTCTCTGCACCGCTAAGATTTGAAATGTGGTGTCATCTGCAGCGGCCATTAGTCATGATATAAGTCATAACATACAACTTCACTAGTGTTCTCTACAAGACATGTTTCAGATTGCAAGTCATTCAAACAATGACAAACTTGGCAATTCTCTGCACTGCTATGATTTGAAATGTGGTGTCATTTGCAGCGGTCATTAGCCATGATATAAGTCATAACATACAACTTCACTAGTGTTCTCTACAAGACATGGAGTGCAATTGTATCTGTGGCTACAGGAGTGCACTAGGCTTTCAATATGTATGGCACCCAGAGAAGTGCTTTTGGTCCATGATATTGATTGTTGTAGCAACACTATGGCTGGAAGCTACTTGTCTGTTGGAGGCAAATTGCTTCCAACAAACAAGTAGCTCCTAGGTATAGTGACATTGAGTGTCAAAGATGTGCCCTTTTTGGTTGTTCAAAGAGCAAGGAGGGCAAGCATTGTGTGGAGTGGGGACTTTTGCACTCCTTAGGGAAGGGTCTCCCGCAAAGGGACAATGCCATGGGCATTTCCCCATTTGCCCTTTCATGGCTGTTTTATGTTTGATGTATTTCAGGTCAGGAGCATTGTCGTGGGCTTGCTGAGGATGTTGTATCCATCTAGCACCCATGTGACAGCGCAAGCAATTGCCATAGCAGGAACCAGGGTGTTTGGGGTGCCATTGGAGAAAAAACAAGTAAGTGATATGCTCATATTTTGGCAGCCTTGAGGTTATTGCCTATCCAACAGCCAAAAACTTTGTGAAGCGCTCTGCAAACAACTTTTACTGAGCAGGTTTCCCTTGTCAGTTGGTGTGCAATTTCCTCTCGTTGGTGAATAGTCAATATAACAATGTGCATGGTGTTGTTATTGGGACACTAGTTTAGTGTTCGGATAAAGCACATGGGTATATGGGTGTGAGTATAGTCTCTTGTGCAAAAGTGTGTGTTGAAGTGCTGTTGTTCCAGGGTGAATGTTGTCCTGGGATTCAAGGCCTAATGAACCTATGAGTATTTTTGCCTGTGCAGTTTTTGATCCAAGAATTTTATCCACCTCACAATAATTTCTCTACTGACCTTTGGGGCCATCAAATTAGCCATGGCTACTCACACATGACAACAGTATGCATTTATGGGCGAAGGGAGGAGGTACGGACAAAAGGCTATTCACTACAATGTGCATCGGCTCACCATCTCAAAGGTTTAGCTATAGTGTCATTGAGCACAAAACAATGCAACGCCAATGCCTTTGCAGGAATGACTAGGGCAACAAAAGTGAGTCTGATGCAAGCATTGGCCAAGTCGTGGGCATGGTGACTAAATGCAAGAGTCCCATAGCCTTGGCTACAAACTTGACACAATCATTTTGATGGCTGGTGAATGCCATGTAGGAAATGTACACAACATTTTAAGAGAGCTAGTTGTGTGCCCCTCTATCTCTTGGGAACAGCAAAATGCATGGTGACAATAGTTCTTGGTCCGTTACTTCATAAAGGGGTTGAAATTTGCCCCAGTAATAAGCTCACCATCAGTTGTGCATAAACGCACCAACATATTTTGAATTATTAACCCGGCGGTATTAAAAATAATCTGCCGCCAGTCAAGCCAGGCCCACCCACAATACAGCCCAAAGCACAACGGCAGCCCGCAACGCATCGACAGGCCCACTGCCACGCTGGCGTTCAAACACGGCCTCTTCGCGCAGCGGCAAGCCTCGCGGCGCTGGCTGTGCGCCCCTCCGACCAAGGGTAAAGTTTCGACGCGAGCGATTGGCGCCTCTTGTTGTTGGCGTGCCTCGAGGTTTGGAGGCGTCGGCAACAAAGTGGGCATCAGGGCACGAGCAAAGCGAGCACAGGTCGCGAATGCAGCGAGTGCAAATGTGATTGGCCCCCGCCCATGACAAAACCCCAGTGACAAGGCCAAGAGCACCAGGAATGGAGCGGAGGCACAAGGCAACGCGACAGCGTTGCACAAGAAGGGGAGCTGCGCGGATTGCAACGGCATGGAGGTTGTGGGAATGGGCGCATGGGAGGCGCCAATCAGGGTGCGGAGCTTGCCGCGCAAGGTGGAGGAGCTCAAGCCGCATTGGAGGCGCGCATTCCTGCCACCTTTGGGCGCCGTTCCAAGGTGCAGCAGGCGGGAATGGGCGCCCATTACACGTGGGTTATGGCACACAGTTTGCTCCTCCTAGCGCCCTTTCGCACCAACTATGGGAACCGTTCCAAAGCGGCACAAGCAGCGGGAATGGGCGCCCGGGAGGCGCAAGTCATGGATGGCGCGCAACCCCTCCCCCCTGGGAAGCCACTCACACCACCCCGGGGGGCCCGTTTCAAGCCAGCATGCACAACGGGAATGGGCATCCATGAGGCGCCAATCAGAGCGCGCAGCTCCTGCGTCGCAGGCGCCCATTCCTGCCGCCTG